CAGGAAATTATTATATATCCAAGAAATGCAGTATCCTGGTAATAATTCCTTGTAAAGGTAAGAACTGTTCACCAAATAGTCACAAAAGTACTCTTTGAAAGTTGTAAACAGTACATAGTACACTGAGACTCATGTCTCTAAAGGCTTTTTAAGAAAAATTCTTCAAATACATTATCAAACCTATTCCCAAGAATTACTCTTCTTCATTGTCTATCACTAAGAAATCGTGTTGCACAAGAGTTTACACATTGACAGTTAATATTCCCTTGGCTAGAACACCACCACTTGGAGTTCATGTGATAATCCATTTTTTAGCTTTACCTATAAAAGGCAATTTTCCATCATTGGAGATGATACTTAGCTAACTATGAGTAACTACTGTCTAGTATTAATCAGCATGTGATACTGGTTTTTTTCTATAGTTCCCAGAACTCACCCTAAATACGGCAGCAGTGCACATAACACAATGTGTATTTCCAGAAACAAAAATACTTTGAAAACCCATATTTTTCTGGTAACTACTTTCTTAAGGTTTTTATTTGAAGAATACAGAAAGGATATTAGATGCTTACAAAAATTGATATTGCTCTGGGATTTTCATACAAAGCTACTTGAGGGCTATTTGTCACTAATTTTAAAGTGAGAGACAAATAGGAAGGATTGAACGCCCCATTATAAAACACTCACGGCTGAAAGAATTTACATGCTCAGCAATGGGTGTCGATCCTGTGACTCGCAGATCACAAGTCAAGCACTCTAACCACCAGTAAAGTTCATGGTTAATTTAAAACATAAGCAAAATCATAAATTATTTCTTTTTCTGTAAAAATGCTGGAGGACTTCATCAGTCTTGGGATTACCAACAGAACTGTTACGAGTTTTTAGAAAAAAACATCAGTTAATCATCCTTCACTAAAAACGTAAATGTGGTTGCCTGTTATGTAAAACTAATGTGGTTTTTCAGTTTTATAAGGATCTGAAGTTTGATGGAAATTTGGAGTCTAAAACATGTTTTTTCTTGAGTTATTATCTCTGCCAATGAAATTAGGGCCAGAACATGCTTCTGTACTAGTAAATATCTTCTAAAGTTGTCATGAGATTTTCTGGCTTAAAGCTAGTGTGAACCATAATATTCAGTCATGACAATTATGTTGATGACTGATTTTAAAGCAAAAAAGAAAGTAATAAAGGCTTTAATTTACCTGCACAAAAATATAAGAATATCATGTTATGAAATTGAATTTTATAAAAATACATAATGTCCCATATAGAGTTTGTGAATAACAAAAATAAATTCTCCAAGTTGAAAGAGCTAACTTATACACTAATATTTTGTAACATGAAAAGCTTTATTACTTTAAGAAATCTCTTCTGCTCACTACATTTTCCAACACTGGAGTAATGAAACTCCATCTTTTATAAAAAAAATATTTCTAAAGTTAAGACAGTACAGCCATGTCTTAAGTATAGTGAGGTAGTTTAAAAGAATAAGAAGAAAATTGAGAAAAATATTGTTCATATGAAGCATAATGTCTTGAAACACTCAATGATACATAGTGTGTTCTTCTATGGTTACTGACCACTACACAGTTAAATATCAAGTTTAGAAGTTATTGTTTCATCAGGTTTATGTTTGTGGCTTTAAATAGGCCAGTATAATATTTTCCTTCAACTTCATCAGGTAAATCAATGCATCACTACACAATCTGCTGTTTATTACACATTAACTCAAGATCTGTACTGTTTCAACATAAATTAGTTTTAATGTCATTAGGCCCAGCAAGATCTAAAACCCTAAGGAATAAGTAAAACTCTTGCTGTTATCAGATTAAATCCAGCAATAAATAACATTTAACCAAGCCAGGGTTAATGCGTTGATAAAGATGATTTCCAGAGTCATAAGTAAATGCTGCTTTACAATTATTACACTCAAAATGCCTAGCTTGTTTGGTCATGTTGTTTAGTGGGGATAACTGTAGTGGAAGGAACAAGGCATAAAAGTTTTATTAATGAAATGCAAAACTTTGAAAGCTTTCTTAGAAAGCAAGGGTCACAAATCAAGTCCATTATTCCCCTGCTTGAAATTGTAACAACTGATTTTACTCTATCTTTTTTTATATACCATGATCCAGGAAAACAACTCAAGTTTAAAAACTGAGCATTTTTCTTTAAAATTAAGCCTTGTAATTCTTGATCTTGGGGACTCATTCTATAGTTCTTCTGCATATTTTCAAACATACCTTAAAAAATTTTCCATAATAATGCTCATTCTATAGTTCTTCTGTATATTTTCAAACATGCCTTAAAAAATTTTCCATAATAATGCTCATTCTATAGTTCTTCTGTATATTT